TGACCACTCAGGATTGCATAACATATCAGGAAACTCATCCCTGGAGAAAACAGATGATCCTCCTTAGGCAGCCACTGATTATTCCACTGCTTCATGTAGGGGTGGGATCTTGTGACATTTCACCCATCCACGTTGGCATATCACCTGGTGTTGGCATTATGCAGGTCTTGTTGGTACAACCATATTGTTGCAATTTCGTGGGTTTACTGTTAGAACCAACACTAATTTTCTGTGAATTTGTGGTCTAAAAGCTCACATCTGAGTTTCAGTGAGAGACACTGGTCTTCCCAACGTATATCCTCAAATCTCATCATACATTTTCACACCTATTGGGTACAAAGGATGGCATGGCTGACTTACTCAAGAAAAACCTCCATGTGCTCTGTCACCTATTCAGAGATTATGATGTACTTTGTACTTTGTCTGCCTTTATACCGAGTCTTCATTCTTCCTTCTGTGTATGACTGATTGACATACTTATTACACTAACCACTCTGCAATTTATATGCTGCAAAAATGAAACAAACAATGTTCGTTACATGCTCATTTATGAGTTACTATTTTTAGCCCCATATGTGTATTTGCTCATTTAATTTGCATATCAGCCAATGAAAACTACTAAAATCCTCCCTACTTAACAAAATCAAGGCACAATGTGTTTAAGTAAACAACCCTGTTTATTTCAACAATTGTGAGCCTGGGAAGCAAAGTGACCCTTTCCTAATGCAGAGACAACTGCAGTGAGGTGTCTATTTTCTTTTCTTCTCTTCATTTTTAGTTTATGTGTATGAGTGTATTGCCTGCATGCTTAGAAGTGAACCTGAGTCATGTATTGCCTGCAGAGGCCGGAAGAGGGCATTAGATCCCCTGGAAGTGGAGCTACAAATGGTTGTTAACTGTCATCTGGAAGCTGAAATTCGAACCCAGGACCTGTGTAGCCAGCAATCTTTACCACTGAGCCATCTTTGCAGCCCCAAGGAGTTTCTATTACCTTCTTTTGAAAATGACTCTACCTGCACCTGCAATCCCCACAGCTAATTACATCCACTGTTTTAATGACATGGTGGTGTTGGGTTGTGTGTTTGGGATCTTTTTTAAATGGCCTCTGCAGTCTACATCAAAGCTGTCATACATTTTTTTTTTCTTTCATGGCAAGCTTCACAGGCAGAGACCTGTGAGACCCTGACAGGCCCCAGCGTGGCTTTGCAATCACCATCTTGAAGTTTTTGTTTTGATTTTAACATTTTTTACTATTTTTATTTTATGTGTATGAGTATCTTGGCTGCATGTAGGTAAGTGCACCAATGTCATGCAATGCCCACAAGGACTGATGAGGCCGTCGGATCCCCTGGAACTGGAGTTACCGGCAGTTATTAGCTACCATGTGGGTGCTGGGATTCAAACCTGGGTCTTCTGCAAGAACAACCAGTGTTCTCAACCGCTGAGCCATCTCTCCAGGCCCCACCACCTTGAAGTTTTTAGTAATGTTATTAGCAAGGGTCCCTTCATACTTATTTTGCACTGAGTGTAAACTGTGAGTTAAGGAGCCACAACCGGCTGGATGGACAAAGTAGCTCTGTTTGATCCACAGACTTTTCTTTCCTGTTTTCCCAATAGTGTATATCATGGAACATGGTATTCAGTCATAATAACTTTTCATATGTCTACAATTCCCTGTGGGCTTCTTCCATCCCACAGACACCTCCACTTCCATTCCTTTATCTCTTTTTATTCCCATCCCCATTCCCTTAGACACGTTTTTCTACTTTCATGTCATACATGCACACGTGATTTCCTGTCTCTCTAAATCATTTGTAAAATCTAGGAACCACAATTGGAACTATCTTAATTCGCTTAACATCATCATTTCCAATTTCATTGCCCTAGCTTTGTTAGTCTTATGGCTGAAAATATCCACTGAAATGTCTGTATGGGGGCTGGAGCAATGACTTGGTGGTTAAGAGCACTGCTGCTCTTGCAGGGGCCCAGGTTCAGTTCTCAGTACCCACATGGTGTCTAACAATTGTCAGTAACTCCAGTTCGAGGGGATCTGATGCCCTCCCATGACCTCTGTGGGCATTGCACGACACTGGTGCATACACACACACACACATATACGTATGTATATATATCACATACATAAAATAAAAATAATAAATAAAATATTAAAAATTGATGTTTATGTCTCTGTGAAATATATCACATTTTTTATCCATTCCTCTGTAGACAGGTACCTAGGTTTGTTCCATAAAGTAGCTATTACGAATAGTGCTGTGGTCAGCATGGATGTAGTCCATGGTGTGTTGACTTGGAGTCTTTTCATTAGGTGCCCAGGAGTGGCGTGGCTGGGTCACATGGCAGACATGGTTTAAATTTATAACGAGCCTCCATTCTAATTTCCATAGAGGCTGGAAGTTACACTTGCAGTAGCACTTTATAATTGTTCTCGTTCCTCCTCACCTGAATTTGTTATTTGTTTCCTTTAAAATACATATTTATTTTTACTTTATGTGTATTTGTCTCTTCACGTACGCCACATGTGTGGGTGCCTGTGGAGGCCAGAGGAGGGCATCTGATCCCTTGGAGCTAGAGTAATGGGTAACTGTGAGCCACAGGACTTGGGTGCCGGGAACCCTACTCAGGTCCTCTGGAAGAGCAGCAAGCACTCTTAACTGCTGAGCCATCTCTCCAGCCCCCTGGCACATACTTTCTTCATAACGGCCATTCTGACTGGGGAGGGCTGAACTCTCAACGTGGCCTTAATTGGCATTTCTCTGGTGGCTAGCGCAGCTGAACTTTTTTCATCTTTATTGGCCAGTTGTGTCTCATCTTTTGAGACCTGAACATTTCATCGGCCCATTTACTGGTTGGGTTTCACTTGTTGTTATTTAGCCTTTGAGTTGTTTGCATGGTCTATGTGTTAATCCTCTGTCAGATGTACTTGTAGCAAAGATTTTCCCTTTTCCTGCGGACTGTATGTTCACTTCATTAATTGTTCCCTTTACTGTGCAGAGCTCTGTAATTTCCGGAGGTTTAATTTGTCGGCTGTTGGCATTTTTCTTGCGTGGAGTTTTATGCCTAAAGTCCGTGTCTTTGCATATATACTGAATTATTTTCCACCTTTTCCTGTATACTGAATTATTTCCATAGGTTTTCTTCTAACAGTTTCAGAGTTTAGTTCTTACACTGAAGTCTTTCTTTCATCTGGAGTTGGAGGTTTGTTCTGAGGGACAGACAAGGATCTAATTTCAGTCTTCTTGATGTAGACACAATCAGAAATTCACAGGCAACGACAGTGTGGCTTATCGGAGGGGATCAGTTCCTGAGATTTGGGGGCAGAAGAGGAGGAGACTGGGTAAGGAAAATCACAGCATTAAAACAATTAAGGAAGAAAACCAAGGTGGGAAAACCTCGGAGGGAAAGAAGGAACCGTTAGGGTTCATGGAGTTTAGTGATTAATAAAGCTTCGGGAGACTCTAAGAAGCAAAAACAGGCAGCTCGAGAGATGGCTTAGCAGGTAAAATCACTTGCTGCTCTTGTAGAAGATCTGATCCACATCAGATGTCTCACACTGTCTATGGCTCTAGCTCTAGGGCATCTGACACCCTCTTCTGGCCTCTGCGGCACCCATGGGCACATGCTCATATGCACACAGAAACACACAAACATAAAAGTAAAACAAATATTTTTTTTAAGAAGTGGAAAAATAGGATGGGAATGAAGGAAAGAAGGAAAGAGTTAGGAACAAAGAGAAGTGTGTGGGTACTGTGGGAAGAACAGGAGACAGCACACAAGGGTACGGTAACTGAAGAAGCTCGCTCAACACACTGAACACACCCTGATGAAGGCACCCCGACAAGCTAAAGCCAGACCATTATGAGATATTTCTGCAAGAATGAAGATTTAAAAAGCAAAACTAAATAAATAAAAGTTGATGATAACAAAAGACAAAGTAGCAGAACTCAAAAAAAACAAAACAAAACAAAAAAACAAAAAACCAAGCTGTGTCTGATTGTGCAGGCCTTTTAATCTCAGTGTTCCGGAGGCACAGACAGGTGGATCTCTGTAAGTCTGAGGCACTCCTGGGCTACATAGAGCTCCAGACCAACCAGGGCTGGATAGACAAGTGCTGTCTCGAAAAATAAAAACACCCACATTGATCAATATTTCTTCCCACACAGAATGCATCCCTGTGGTATTTCACATAATGAACAGCACTCATGGGGGAGATATGATATTTGATTCCAGTTCAAGTCCATTTAACCAGATTTAGGGAATGTATCATCCCAGGGCCTTCCCACCAGTGACCTCTTGGATGGACTTTCTGACACACAAGTGCTGGGTTCAGTAGTATGGTTCTCAGTTCCACCCTCCATGCTCTGTAGTTCATTAGTGCTGAATGGGTGAGCGCAGGGTGGGAGCACTTACTGCAGGTTCCTACCCTCCTCATCCACAGCTTTGTTGGGATGGAGCCTGCCTGGGCTTCCAGGAGTCAAAGTACAGGAATGCGGGTAAAAAGAGCTATTTCACAAGCTCTCTAAAAGTATGCTTTTTTTGTGCCTGTCTATTCAATGAACCATTAATGCATATAAAAATTGGGAAATTGGGTGTTATACTTTGCATTAATTCAGTTATACAACTTTGATTTGTGTTATTGGGGTGAAGTTAAAATATATAATTTAGAGAATGGAGAGATGGCTCAGCAGTTAAGAGCACTTGCTACTCCCGCAGAGGAACCAGGTTCAGTTCCAGCATTCACATGGTGGCTAACAATCATCTGTAACTCCAGTTGTAGTGACTCTGATGCCATCATGCAGCTTCCAGAGGCACTGTTTGCATGTGGTGCACATTTGTACGTTCAGGTAAACACTTATACATACAAAAGAAAAATAGATAAATCTCCAAACATATAATCTATAGATCTTTGTATGGAGTCATTTAAAATCACTGAGTTAGTTCTTTGCACAGAAAGCAACTTCAAACTAAACATTGATGGACAGATGGTCCTGGTTTCATGCAGTAACCTCAGTGAGTGGATTAGGTTCTTGAGTAACAACAATCGTATATTTCAGAGTGTCCGTCCTTTTCTCATTTTGTCTCATTCTCAGAGATCGCGAAGGAATATTGCTAACTTCACAATGACTGGATTTCTTCTCGTGGGGTTTTCCAGACAGCGTGAGGTAAATCTCTTATGTGGTGCAGTTTTCTTGGCTTTCTACCTAGTGGCTCTCATTGGCAAGAGTCTCATTATCGCTGCCACGTCCATGGACCACAGTCTCAGCTCACCTATGTATTTCTTCCTGAAACATCTCTCCTTCTTGGATCTCTGCTACATTTCTGTGACTGTGCCGAGGTTCATCTGCAGCTCGTTCATGCACAGTGCCTACATTTCCCTGTGGGAGTGCATACTACAGTGTTTTGCATTCTCTCTCTGTGGTTCTTCTGAAGTGGCGATGCTCACGGTGATGTCCTATGACCGCTATGTGGCCGTGTGCCTCCCTCTGCACTAAGAAGTCATCATGGATGTCAGTACCTGCATTTGTGGGGTGTCAGCCGTGTGGGCCAGTGGAGTGTGTCAGGACTCATGCACACAGCGGCGACTTTCTCCATCCACTTCTGTGGCTCCCATATCCTCCACCAGTTCTTCTGTGACATCCCTCAGCTCTTGAAACTCTCCTGTTCCAGGCAGTTTGTCAGTGAGCTTGGAGTCAGTGGCTTCCTGTCCTTGCTGGCATTCTTCTGTGTCGTCTCTATTGGTTTTACTTATGTGCGCATATTATCTACTGTGCTGAGGGTGCCATCTGCAGAGGGCAGAGCCAGAGCCTTCTCTACTTGCCTGCCCCACCTGTTTGTGGTTGTTTTATTTATCTCCACTGCTGCCTTTGAGTTTCTCAAGCCACATTCAGCGTCTCCCTCTGCATTAGACTTCATACTTACTGTTCTTTATACTGTTCTTCCCCCAACACTTAATCCAATAATTTATAGCTTGAGAAATAAGGCCATGAAGGCAGCCCTAAGAAAGATTTTTCAAAGAAAAAGCGTTTTCTTTTCCCGAATCACATCCATTAATTCCTGTCTGGGAGACACTTCAAACTATACTGGAACATGCAACAGCCAATGAATAAAGTAAAGATAAAACTGTGCTATTGTAGGAACAGTCGTGTAAGGAAGGGTGGTTGCATGGATAGGTTCTTTTCGTGAGAAGAAAAGAGCATAGAGTTTGTGCTGGTTAGTTTATTTTGTTAATTTGATATAAGTTGGCATGTAGGGCATTTTCTTGATTGCTAATTGATGTAGGGAGACTCATCAATGCTCAGTTGATGCAATGTAATCCCTGGACAGGTTGGCCTGAGCTGTATATGAAAGGAAGTTGGGCAATCAGGAGAAGCAAACTGGTCAGCAAAGCTCCTCCATGATCTCTGCTTCAGTTCCTGCCTCCAGGTTCCTGCCTTGAGTTCTATCTTGTCTTCCCTCAGTGATGATCTATGAAATAGATGTATAAGCCAAATAAATCCTTTTACCCCCCAAGCTGTTTTTGGTCATGGTGTTTAGTACACTATCAGAAACTAAGAAAGAGTTACAGATGTCTTATATGTATCACCTCACAAAGCTAGATTTGGGCAAAAACTGATTTTCGCTAATTAAAAAAAAAAAAATCCTACTTAATTTCCCTTCCTGGATCTGTTTTTATCAAAGGCATGAGAAGTATCAGAGACAGAAAAGGTCAGTAAGTCGACATTCCTTCTGCCCTTTTCCTGATCCAGTGAGAACAAGAGCCTGACACAGCTCCTTGGGCAGAGATCAAGGGGGCTGAGAAACAGCCATGGGAGGAAGTGGTAACCTCCCTCCTGAGGTAACTGTTGAGTCAGATGAACCGATGAACCCTCAGTTCTGCCTCCTCCCCTCCCATCCTCTCATCACCACCACTGAGAGCTGAGCAGAGGCCGCCAGCAGGACTAAGGACCATGCACACCACAGGTAGACTGCAAGGCCAAAGTGACTCCTGGAGGCCCAGGCAGGCACCCCCTGAACAAAGCTGTGGATGAGGAGGGTAGGAACCAGCAGTAAGTGCTCCCACCCTGCGCTCACCCATTCAGCACTAATGAACTACAGAGCATGGAGGGTGGAACCATACTACTGAACCCAGCACTTGTGTGTCAGAAAGTCCATCCAAGAGGTCACTGGTGGGAAGGCCCTGGGATGATACATTCCATATATCTTGTTAAATGGGCTTGAACAAGAATCAAATATCATATCTCCCCCATGAGTGCTGTTTGCTATGTGAAATAACACAAGGATGCATTCTGTGTGGGAAGAAATATTGACCAATGTGGGCGTTTTTGTTTTTTGAGACAGCACTTCTCTATCCAGCCCTGGCTGGTCTGGAGCTCTATGTAGCCCAGGAGTGCCTCAGACTTACAGAGATCCACCTGTCTGTGCCTCTGGAGCACTGAGATTAAAAGGCCTGCACAATCAGACACAGCTTGGTTTTTTTTTGTTTGTTTGTTTTTTTTGAGTTCTGCTACTTTGTCTTTTGTTATCATCAATTTTTATTTATTTAGTTTTGCTTTTTAAATCTTCAGTCTTGCAGAAATTTCTCATAATGGTCTGGCTTTAGCTTGTCACGGTGCCTTCATCAGGGTGAGTTCAGTGTGTTCAGCGAGCTTCAGTTACCGTACCCTTGTGTGGTGTCTCCTGTTCATCCCACAGTACCCACACACTTCTCTTTGTTCCTAACTCTTTCCTTCATTCCCATCCTCTTATTTTTCTACTTCTTTAAATAAAATAATTGTTTTACCTTTATGTTTGTATGTTTCTGTGCGCATATCAGCATGTGCCTATGGGTGCCACAGAGGCCAGAAGAGGGTGTCAGATGCCCTAGAGCTAGAGTCATAGACAGTGTGAGACATCTGATGTGGGTCACATCTTCTAGAAGAGCAGCAAGTGCTTTTACCAGCTGAGCTATCTCTCGAGCTGCCTGTTTGTGCTTCACAGAGTCTCCCAAAGCTTTAGTAATTACTAAACTCCATGAACCCTAACGGTTCCTTCTTTCCCTCCGAGTTTTTTCCCACCTTGGTTTTCTTCCTTAGTTGTTTTAATGCTGTTATTTTCCTTACCCAGCCTCCACCTCTTCTGCTGCAAATCTCGGGAACTGATCCCCTCCGATAAGCCACACTGTCGTTGCCTGTGATCTTCTGATTGTGTCTACATCAAGAAGACTGAAATTAGATCCTTGTCTGTCCCTCAGAATAAAACTCCAACTCCAGATGAATGAAAGACTTCAGTGTAATAACTAAACTCTGAAACTGTTAGACGAAAACCTATGGAAATAATTCAGTATACAGGCAAAGGTGGAAAGTAATTCAGTATATATTCGTAGACACGGACTTTATTAATAAAACTCCACTCAGGAAAAATGCTAACAACCAACAAATTAAACCTCCGGAAATTACAGAGCTCTGCACAGTAAAGGGAACAATTAATGAAGTGAAGATACAGTCCGCAGGAAAAGGGAAAATCTTTGCTACAAATACATCTGAGAGAGGATTAACACATAGACCATGCAAACAACTCAAAGGCTAAATAACAACGAGTGAAACCCAACCAGTAAATGGGCCGATGAAATGTTCAGGTCTCGAAAGATGAGACACAACTGGCCAATAAAGACATGAAAAAAGTTCAACTGCGCTAGCCACCAGAGAAATGCCAATTAAGGCCACGTTGAGAGTTCAGCCCTCCCCAGTCAGAATGGCAGTTATGAAGAAAGTATGTATCAGGGGGCTGGAGAGGTGGCTCAGCAGTTAAGAGTGCTTGCTGCTCTTCCAGAGGACCTGAGAAGGGTTCCCAGCACCCAAGTCCTGTGGCTCACAGTTAACCGTTACTCTAGCTCCAAGGGATCAGATGCCCTCCTCTGGCCTCCACAGGCACCCACACATGTGGCCTACATGAAGAGACAAATACACATAAAGTAAAAATAAATATGTATTTTAAAGGAAACAAATAAATTCAGGTGAGGAGGAACGAGAACAATTATAAAGTGCTACTGCAAATGTAACTTCCAGCCTCTATGGAAATTAGAATGGAGGCTCGTGATAAATTTAAACCATGTCTGCCATGAGACCCAGCCACCCCACTCCTGGGCATCTAATGAAAAGACTCCAAGTCAACACATCACGGAGTACATCCATGCTGACCACAGCACTATTCGTAATAGCTAGTTTATGGAACAAACCTAGGTACCTGTCTACAGAGGAATGGATAAAAGTGATATATCTCACAGAGATGTGATATATATACATATATATATGTATATATATGCACCAGTGTCATGCAATGCCCACAGAGGTCATAGGAGGGCATCAGATCCCCTGGAACTGGAGTTACTGACAGTTGTTAGACACCATGTGGGTACTGAGAACTGAACCTGGGCCCCTGCAAGAGCAGCAGTGCTCTTAACCACCAAGTCATCTCTCCAGCCCCCATACACACATTTCAGTGGATATTTTCAGCCATAAGACTAACAAAGCTAAGGCAATGAAATTGGAAATGATGATGTTAAGCGAATTAAGATAGTTCCAATTGTGGTTCCTAGATTTTACAAATGTTTTATACAGATACAGGAAATCACGTGTGCATGTATGACATGAAAGTAGAACAACATGTCAAAGGGAATGGGGGTGGGAATAAAAAGAGATGAAGGAATGGAAGTGGAGGTGTCTGTGGAATGGAAGAAGCCCACAGGGAATTGTAGACATATGAAAAGGTATTAGGACCGAATACCATGTTCCATGACACACACCAGTGAGAAAACAGGAAAGAAAAGTCTGTGGATCAAACAGAGCTACTTTGTCCATCCAGCCAGTTGTGGCTCATTAACTCACAGTTTACACTCAGTGCAAAATGAGCATGAAGGGACCCTTGGTAATAAATTACTAAAAACTTCAAGGTGGTGGGGGCTGGAGAGATGGCTCAGCGGTTGAGAACACTGGTTGTTCTTGCAGAAGACCCAGGTTCGAATCCCAGCACAACATGGTAGCTAACAACTGTCAGTAACTCCAGTCCCAGGGGATCCGACGGCCTCTTCTGTCCTTGCGAGCACTGCATGACATTGGTGCACTTACCTACATGCAGCCAGTATATTCATACACATAAAATAGAAATAGTAAAAAATCTTAAAAACAAAAACAAAAGCTTCAAGATGGTGACTGCAAAGCGACACCGGGACCTGTCAAGGTCTCACAGGTCTCTGCCTGTGAAGCTTGCCATGCAAGAAAAGAAAATGTATGACAGCTTTGATGTAGACTGCAGAGGCCATGGGAAAAAGATCCCAAACACACAACCCAACACCACCATGTCATTAAAACAGTGGATGTAGTGAGCTGTGGGGATCGCAGGTGAAGCTACAGTCAGTTTCAAAGTAATGTAATAGAAACTCCTTGGGGCTGCAGAGATGGCTCAGTGGTAAATAGTGCTAGCTGCACAGGTCCTGGGTTCGAATTTCAGCTTCCAGATGACAGTTAACAACCATTTGTAGCTCTACTTCCCGGGGATCTAATGCCCTCTTCTGACCTCTGCAGGCAATACATGACTTGGGTCCATTTCTACTCATGCAGACAATACAGGCATACACATAAACTAAAAATAAAGAGAAGAAAAGAAAATACACACCTCACTGCAGTTGTCTCTGCATTAGCAAAGGGTCACTTTGCTTCCCAGGCTCACAATTGTTGAAATAAACAAAGTTGTTTACTTAAACACATTGTGCCTTGATTTTGTTAAGTAAAGTAAGAAGGATTTTAGTAGTTTTCATTGGTTGATTTGCAAATTAAATGAGCAAATACACATATGGGGCTAAGAATAGTAACTCATATAATGAACATGTAATGAAGGTTGTTTGTTTCATTTTTGCAGCATATAAATTGCAGAGTGGTTAATGTAATGAGTATGTCAATCAGTCATAGACAGCAGTAAGAATGAAGACTCGGTATAAAGGCAGACAAAGTGCAAAGTACGTAATAATATAAAGGCAGACGAAGTGCAAAGTACGTCATAATCTCTGAATAGGTGACAGAGCACATGGAGGTTTTTCTTGTGTAAGTCAGCCATGCCATCTTTTGTACC